CCCTCCATTGCTGCCTCTATCAGAAAGAGGCAGCAAGGGGGTTAGGAGTAGGGGGTGGTTCAAAGCGGCAACAAAGCATGGAGCCTGGGGTCTGCCGCTTTGAAACGCTGCATACAGCCCAGGGCCAGCTGGGGACTCCCAGATTTGAAATGCTGTGGGGAGCACGTCCCTTGCTGTCCTCGTGCTTCCTGCAGTGCTTTTGCCTTTGAAGGCAGAGGCACCCTTATCGGCTAATCGAATTGTATCGACTATTCGATTAGCCAATTAATCTAAATTTAACATTCCTACACTGAGGCAAGGTGAGCATAGGGGGTTGAAAGTTCCCTGAGGGTGAAGACTCCAGAATGTGGGGGCACTGCAGCAGGGCAGTACACTGAGGGAAAGGTGCCACACTCTGGGAGGGACACAGGTTTTAATGTAAGGTGGCAGAGCCATTAACAGACCAACAGGTAATAGCAAGTGAAACACTCCCTAAAAGGGGGTGCTCCAGCACCAAGCTGAGGTAATTCCTGAGTGACCAGCAGAAGGTGTTGTGATGGTGAATTGCACCATGTGCAGAGTGCTCATTCAGAGGGTGCTATTCCAGATTTTTTGGGGGATGAGGGGACTATAACCATAATTCCAGGAGTTCTTAGGCAATTGTAAACTAGGGTTTTTTTTTCAGATAATTTAGAAATTATCTGACAGGAACACTGTATCTAGTTCCTATATCAAGAAAGAAAAAGAAATATTAGACCCACTCAGTTCTAACACTAACATGTCCTTACATTGTGTGGCAAATTACTTCAGGGACACTGGTTAGATTTAAATTTGTAATGTGTATTCTTATTCAGATACCCTTACCAAAGTCAGGAAAGCTGTATATCATAGAGTTAAAGCAACAGAAGACCAGATTTCACAGGGAGAGACCAGATTTTATGGTCCATTATGTGTTTTTCATAGCCATGAATTTTGTTCGGCCTTATTCATGACCTAGTAACTGTTTATGCCTGGGGCAATTCTGTATCAAAAAATTAAAAAATTGGCACACAATAGTTTAAAATTCTGCAAACTTTATTTATCAAAATAAACACAATATAATAATACAGTTTCAATTATTTTGGTAATTTATTTCAAAATATCTGTCAGGAAGTATGCCTGTAACAATATAGACAACAAAAAAGATTCCATGAGGAGTAAAGTTAAAGAAACGCCTGTATCCACATGGCTCTTCACTGCAGGATCACAGTTTAAGATACCATAAAGTAAGATATATGGGAAGGAAGGCAGAGAGCAGATTAGTCAGTTGAAAGAATGCATTATCTTAATGAGGTCTGTCCTTGGTCTATTCCCAGGGAAAGGCAAGAATCAGTATTTTCCCCAGAAATTGGAATTCAAGCTATGGAGGAATGTTCAAATTTACAGGGAGGTGAGGCTGAGAGGTGAGAGGCAACTGTAAAATGCAGGATCCACAGCATACTGGCACCATAGTAAAACCTAAAACATGTTTCATTACCATTTTATTAGATTTAACTCATGTTTTAAAATCTTCACACAAATTAAAGTTGGCTACTCAAGCCTTGTATGAAGCACTACAGCTAATTCCTTCTTGATTTTCTGTTGTAATTTTGCACAATTATCTTAGTGACTGTCTCAAATGCAGTGTGTTAATCTTTAGTGGCTTCCCATGTATTTGGTACTTCTAGTCTTTCAAATGGTATGCTCGTTAGTTCATTCCCATTATCAGGCAAGTGGCAGCTTCTCATAGAGCACAAAATTCTGTTCAATGACAAAGAACACTCCACTCTAGCTATTTTGACTGAGTAGCAAGAGATGAATTCCTACATATTTTAACTGAGGAAACAGCACAAAGATTGGGTCCAGCCACTAGTGATAATAAAGAAGCTGTTGCAGTTAAATCTTCATTTGCTATCCGAGGCTGTCTACACTGAAGTTATTTTTCTGAAAAATGTATGCAAATTGTGAACCGCAATTTGCATACCTTTTTCTGATTCTTTTTTCGGAAGAGGCTTTTCCAACATTTGGCCAGTCAACATGGGGCCAAATATGGGAAAAACGTCCTCTTTTGGAAGAGCCCTTATTCCTCATAAAATGAGGAATACAGGGATTCCAAAAGAGCACACCCGCTTTTTCGGAAACCGATCTGAAAAAAGCAGACACATTCGCTGGACGCGGCAGAGTTTTTCTGGGATACCTCTAATATCCCGGAAAAACTCTGTAGTGTAGACATAGCCTGACATTCCACTTAGTGTTCAAATTCTCTATTTTGTCCTAGTCACATGGCAGCCCCTCTGTTAGTAGTGCCTCACACCTCTGAACTGTCGGTATTTTACAAGGTAGGCATCTGTAAAAGCTACATAGATTTGAGTAGAATCCAGAAGCCACTGTTGTATATTTGTAAGAATCAAGTCTGTGTATTTTTTCAGCTGGCTTAATAAACACTTCTTGTCCTTTTACTTAAGGATTATTAGTGCCTTCATTACGCAACTTCTGAAATACAATCTTTGCTTCTTCCAGTACATTTTCAATGGCTCTCTCTCTCAGTTCAGCAGTAGAAGCTACATTGCATCAATAAGATTGCCTGGATGGCATTAATGACCCAAATGGCTTCTTTCAACAGTAGATTTATGAGAGAGAGAAAGGTGATTGTCTTCTCTGAATATAGTAGCAAAAGTAATCCATCAGTCTCACCACTTAGACCTAACCTATCATGGTAGATACTTTTCAAAATCAGTAATAATGAATTCAATAATTTTAAGACAACATTCAATGATCACTTATGGCAGGGGTGGGCAATAATTTTTGACTGGGGGCCACTTCAGAAATTTCGTAAGTGGCCCTGGGCTGCCCTGGAAGGTGAAAGGGGGTTCAGACGGAAGGGGGGGGCAGGATACTTCCATGCTTCCTCGCCCACAGACCCTGATTGGTCTAGGGGTGTGGGAGCTTGGGAAGTCTTTGCTCCCGCCCTCCACCCGAGAACCCCCGGCTGTTCTGAACAGATGGCGGTTCCCTCTTGGCACTTGTGCCCCTGGCAGCAGGAGATTGTGTGTGTTTCCCCCCCTCCAGGTCAATCAGGGCCTGCATCGGTGCAGTCATCAGCATGTGTGAAAATGTTTTGCATGTGGTGGGACAATTCATTTTTTCAATTGCTGTGTAAAAAAACCCCAAACCACTGAGACATTAGTGGGATGTATCTTTGACTTGTGCTGGAGGATCCTGTAGTCAATGAGACTTTTACAAACCTCAATTCTGATTAGACCTGTGACTCACCTCTGCTCTGGAACACTATCCCACCAATTCCATCCAAGCACACTCCCCATCAGATACTCTACCGCACCCTGTAATGCTCACACGCACTGCTCCTCAGGCACGCTGATGTAGCTCCTGGCACAGTCACACACCCCTGGCACACTCACACTACCCCTAGCACAATAGCACACATTCACATTGACACACCCTGTGGCACAGTCACACACCCCTGGCACACTCACACTACCCCTAGCACAATAGCACACATTCACATTGACACACCCTGTGGCACAGTCACACACCCCTGGCACACTCACACTACCCCTAGCACAATAGCACACATTCACATTGACACACCCTGTGGCACAGTCACACACCCCTGGCACACTCACACTACCCCTAGCACAATAGCACACATTCACATTGACACACCCTGTGGCACAGTCACACACCCCTGGCACACTCACACTACCCCTAGCACAATAGCACACATTCACATTGACACACCCTGTGGCACAGTCACACACCCCTGGCACACTCACACTACCCCTAGCACAATAGCACACATTCACATTGACACACCCTGTGGCACAGTCACACACCCCTGGCACACTCACACTACCCCTAGCACAATAGCACACATTCACATTGACACACCCTGTGGCACAGTCACACACCCCTGGCACACTCACACTACCCCTAGCACAATAGCACACATTCACATTGACACACCCTGTGGCACAGTCACACACCCCTGGCACACTCACACTACCCCCAGCACAATAACACACATTCACATTGACACACCCTCTGATACACTGCTCCTGGCACAATCACACACCCCTGGCACACTCACACTACCCCTAGCACAATAGCACACATTCACATTGACACACCCTGTGGCACAGTCACACACCCCTGGCACACTCACACTACCCCTAGCACAATAGCACACATTCACATTGACACACCCTGTGGCACAGTCACACACCCCTGGCACACTCACACTACCCCTAGCACAATAGCACACATTCACATTGACACACCCTCTGGCACAATCACACACCCCTGGCACACTCACACTACCCCTAGCACAATAGCACACATTCACATTGACACACCCTGTGGCACAGTCACACACCCCTGGCACACTCACACTACCCCTAGCACAATAGCACACATTCACATTGACACACCCTGTGGCACAGTCACACACCCCTGGCACACTCACACTACCCCTAGCACAATAGCACACATTCACATTGACACACCCTCTGGCACAATCACACACCCCTGGCACACTCACACTACCCCTAGCACAATAGCACACATTCACATTGACACACCCTGTGGCACAGTCACACACCCCTGGCACACTCACACTACCCCTAGCACAATAGCACACATTCACATTGACACACCCTGTGGCACAGTCACACACCCCTGGCACACTCACACTACCCCCAGCACAATAACACACATTCACATTGACACACCCTCTGATACACTGCTCCTCCCCCCCTCCCCAATTACACACATTCCTTTGGGAGGCACGAACACGTGCCCCAATCACACGCACTCACACCCCACTGGCTGTTCACAGCGATCCCCCACCCGCACCGGCTAGCCCCGCCCGCGTGGCGGTGGTCGGCAGGGGGCGCTGCAGGCGCTCGACTCCCCGCTCCTTCCCTCGGTGCCCTCTCCGGCTGGTGCACCAGCCCGACCGGAAGTTACGTCCGTTGTGTGGCTGCGGCGCTTCCGGTGGCGGCAGGGGAGCGGGAGCGGGAGCCTGACTGCGGGGCTGCGCAGCTCGGCGCGGGACATGGACATTCTCAAGGCGGAGATCAGCCGGAAGCGGCAGTTGCTGGAGGAGAAGGAGCTCATGGGGGTGTGGAGGGGCCCGCGGGGAGGGGCGGGGGTGTGCGAGGGACCCTGGC